ATATATATATATATATATATATATAATCTGCTGAAGGACTTGTATTTCTGCCCATCCAGTTATGAGATGTGCTCAGCTCTGCCACAAAACAGCCTTATCTGGCCTTATTCTGATTTTTGACTGCTGCAGTTTGTAAGCACCAACAGTCATCCTCCAGCCCCTGACTGGACAGTGAAAGGAGAAGCAGCAGAGTGATGAGCTAATCTCTCAGCTTTCCCTTCCTGTCAGCGTGTTAATTGTTTGCGCATGAGAACTGCAGAACAGCTGATTGGCTTGTCCTTGTGCTTCTCCTGCTTTGAGCTCTGCTGTAAAGTGGAATTGATGATGGATGCTGATAGCAAGTTACATTCAGGTGCATACTCTGCTGCCATAAAAAAAAAATACATGTATTAATTATATTTAATGCAAAACTGCAGTTCAGCTTTAAAATTAGAATTGATCTGTAAAAATGTCAACCCCAAAGTGATCTTTTACAGTATCTCGGTGTGGATGGAAAAACCTCTGGGTGTCTACTGAGAGAAGTTCTTCTATGGTAGGACTGCGGATATGAAATCACTGGAGTGGAAGCTCTTCCACTATACAGTCAAAGGTTTGTGGGCACCTGACAATCCCACCCACCTATTTGGCTGAATGTATATGGAGACTTCCTAATGTTGAGTTGATTCAGTAAAGGGTGCTATGAATGCTACGCATATGAAGACCTCTTAAACAATTGTTTGCTTTCATCTTGGTGGCCACAGCTTGGTGAAGGCCTTTTACTGTTCCAGTATGATTGTTCCCCTCTGCACAAACATGGTGGCACATTTATGAACGCATATTTGTCTTTTACCAATCTGTCACATCTCAGATTCATGTGTGGTTCTGTCGCACAAACAAATACACTTTGCACTGCTCGGTTTTCTACAACGATGGGGCTTTTTTCTCCCTGCAATTTTCTGCTACCAAGGTGTGAATACAGCACTATTTTGGCATCATATCTGGAAGTCTCTGTGACGGAAGTCTTTGCCATTCAGTTACACAAAGTTGAATGTGGTCCTGATCTTGTCTTCAAATGGTGCAAATAGGAAAAGCATTCCAATGATTTATTAGGCAAATATTTTACATGGCTAATAATTGTTTAGCAAAATTTTCCATGAAAATAAAATGTAATTTTATCCACCATTCAGAGCAGAGGGACGTAACAACAATGATAATGATCTGCTTCAGAAGGGCTCCTATCAGGGTGCCTGTCCAAGGTTCTGTTGGGTTTATCATCAGATCTCTGGGAGGGTGTCCAGGCAGATCTCTGGGTGGGTGAGATTACAGCCAAAGGTTCCTGGCCTGGATCCTCATGGGGTTCTAGAAGGGCTCCTGGACTGACTTCTAGCCAGGATATTTAGCAGGCGTGTTGTCCATCTGAGTTCTTGGGACTGGCTCCTGGGCTGTTTCCTCCTAGGATGTGTACAGACAACATTCCTGCACCTCCTGGTGGCAGGGTTCGACCTCTCTCCCTTGCTTTGCTCCATGCTGTCCCCTGGGCTGGGCATTGAATTACTGGTAAGTCTTCATAGAGACTATGTGTGTGGGAATAGCAGTGCCATAAGTGCAGCTGCAACAGTTCACTTTTCAGTTGCACAATTGCGACAGATTTTAGTTGACATTCCAGAATGTTAAATGCGCTAACATATGTACTATAAGACCTCATTCACACTGCCGTACAATACGATGCGTATAGATGCGCGCAGCGTATTTTCCCAATATGCAAATAAATGGCTCCATACACATAGCTGCGTAAAGATGCACACAAAAAATGGAGCTGAGATGCGTCCGGGCTCCGTCTTTCTGTGTATTTTACGTGCGTATAGTACATAAAAATTTCTATTAACTGCCTCCGGGCCGGCCGTAGTAAAAAAAACGGCCGGCCAGGAGCTCTCTAGATCTGAGCGGGCTCAAAAAAAAATAATTTTAAAGTCCCAACCCATATATACACGCATGCATACATGCGTCGGGGGCGCATACGTGCAAAAAAGACGATTGCGCCCATTACGCCGCATATGTTACATATCGCCGCAAACATCGCAGTGAAAGCAATAAGTCTAGGGCCATCAATCACTGATAACACGAAACTGATGAGCGGTAAAAACGTTTAAAGCGTCGCCTATGGCTAATTTTGGTTGCGGTCGTTTTCTGCGATGTCGCGGGTGCGCGCAATTTTAAAGGTTGACATGTTTAGTGTCTATTTAACCGACGTGACCCGATCTTTTATATTTGACCAAAAAACTGGGTAATAATAAATGTTTCCAAACATAATGTTAAAAAAACGTTTTTTTTTCAAAATTTTCAGTAATTTTTCCTAATTATAATAAAAATTAAAACCCCCAGTGGTGATTAAATACCCCCAAAATAAAGCCCTATCTGTCCCCAAAAAATGGTATAAAATTCATTTCAGTACAGCGCTGCATGACGGAATAAACGTCAGTCAAAGTACCGCAGCGCTGAATACTGAAAAATGGCCTGGCCAGGAAGGGGGTCTAAACACCTGGTCTTGAAGTGGTTAAGAATGATGCATTCTGGGATTATTGCATACAGTGCACGCATATACATACGCAATATACAATTTTGCTCTTGCATTGTGTGTGCATGAGGCTTAATGTGTCACCAATTGTCACTAGGCGACTCTCTTGATAAATTGCAGGAAACGGGGACACCGGCACTCCAATGTTAGCGTAAATGCAACGTCTTTTTATTGAAGAAAATGCGACATGTCACAAAGTTGGG